TTTGAATGAGAGTTAACACCACTCCATTCCTGGTCATTCTACTTACTGGTTGACTGACATCATACAAAACACCTAACTTGTCTAAGCACTAAGTTCTTCAGTTGCAAGATGGAGATTCTAGGGTGCCTGAGAAGTCGATTTCATATGAGATTCCCATCAGCAAACCAAGGGTTTAAATTTCTCCATATTCTCACTAATATTTTTCATTGTAGTCGTCATCGTCGTCGTCCTCCTCCTCCTCCTCCTCCTCCTCCTCCATATTAGCCATGCTAGTAGGCTTGAAGTGGTAGTATCCCATTGTGGTTTTATTTGTGTTTCCCTAAGGATCAGTGATGCTGAGCATCTTGTCATATGCTCGTTAGCCACTTGTGTATTTACTCTGGTAGAATCCTTTACCATTTTTGAATTCAGTTATTTTTTCACTGTTGAACTGTTTGGGACTTCTTTACATATCCTGGATGTTAATCCTTTATCAAATATGTTATTTGTAAATATTTTTTCCCACTCTATAGATTTTCTTTTTATATTCTTGCTAAATTGTCTTTTATGCAAATGTTAGCAAATGCTTTACATTTTGATTTTGAATAATTTATTTATATTTCTATTATTGCCTGTGCTTTTGGTGTCAAACTTAAGACTACTGCCAGACCCAAGGTGATGAAGATTTTCCTCTATTTTCTTCTAAGAGTGAATTTTATCTAAGTGAAATATACCCTTAAAATTATTAATAGTAAATTTTATGTTTGGCATATTCTGTCACAATAAAAATATTTATCTCCCCAAAGATACCCAATAAACAAAGGGTTTGATGGGCAGTAGATTTTATTTATTTATTTATTTCCTTTATTAAATTATTTATTTATTCTAATTTGGCATGATGGCAGAATGAAATTCATTTGGGCAGTAGATTTTAAATTAAAAAAAGAAGATTATTCTGCAAACTAGAGCTCATTCATGAAACTTCAGGCTGAAGAACTTGTGACTGACAAGTTTGACTTAGTGGATTGCTCGGACTCCTTTAGGTTTGGTATCAACGTAGGCCTAACTGCACTTTGCTCCTTGTGGCTCCACTGCCTGCCTAGTTCTGCCTTTTGAATCCACAGGACAAATCCAATCCCTTTTCCAAGTGGTAGCTCTCCAAGTGGTTGGTGGCAGCTGCCATGATCACAGAAGTCATGCTGTTTGATCACATGCTTCCCTGTGTAGAATGGGACATTCATTCTGAGGAAGGGGGGTTTCCCAGTAAAGAGACAAAGAAAGCAGGGCTTGGGGCTGGGAAGACAGGTGATACAACCAAGCAACAAATGGAGCTGGGATTTGAACCCTTTGGAGGTGTTCCTGGAGCAAAGGCTGTATTTTAGATGCCAGGCAATGTTACCTCTTGGCCAGGTCCCGGGTTCCCCCTTAGCCTTCTTCTCCACAATCCCTTGGTCTTTTCTTATATGGCTTCCTTCTACATTCTTCTCCAGTCTATTCCCTCATTTGCAGTGAATATCAGGCCAGGCCCCACTAAGGCAAAGTCAAGCCCTTTTTCTTATTACACATAGGCCCACGTTTCATGGATGCCCTATTGGACTCAGCATTCTACAAGGTCCAGTGGCCCCACAGAGGGGGAGGATCATTAGAGGAAATCCATTCCAAGGCCCTAGCAGACTCCTTTTCCCTACCCCCATCATTTGCTAAAAGCAGGGGCTGGCCCCACCTGTCTCTCTTGTAGTATCCTCCCAGGAGTTCCCGCAGAGGAAGATATTGCAGTCTCAGGATTAACAGCCTGTTTGTTTAAAAGGCTTATTACTGGTTCTTAATGCTATTTTGACAGATGAAAGTGAGTCGATTAGAGCTGGAAATAGCTCTGACTGCTTAGGTTTCTTCCAGGTGGCTGCCCATTCTCCATCCATGGAACTTTTTCTCTCTTCACCAAAGAGAGGTTCTTTTGCTTCTGTTATCCCTTTGACTCCCAAAACCACTCAAGAGTTTCCTTCTTCTGCAAAGATATGCTGTTGAAATCATGGATGAGGGTTGCTGTGACAGACCCTCTCTGTGACAGGGACAAAGTGAAAAAATGCTGATGGGAGCCCTGACAGGTCAACCTCCAGGATAAGGAATATGAATGGCCTCAGTGAGCCCTGTGTTTTTATAGGTATCACTCTGGTTCCATCAGCCACAAATGCAGTTGCCCTGTATTGAATCTTTTTAGGGTCTTTGGAACAATGGGTTCCCTGTGTCAACTCCCACCAAAATGCGTCCAATGTTGATCACAGGCTTGGGTACCTCAAAGTCAATCATCTTTGTGAGGGCAAGAGTCTTTTGTGGGTGGCTCACAGGGTTTCCCAGAGTTATGCTAAGGCCCCAGTGAAGGGCATTCCAATGCTTCCTGGTTGGTAAGGAGTCTGTACAATAGACTTTGCCTTGTCCCTGGAGCAAAGGTGTGATCTCCCATGTGGTTTGTTGGACAATTGGGATAAGTGGTCAGAGTATTTGTAAGAGGCACCTCAAATTTATGCCCAAGAAAGAACTCTTCCTTAATGCTCCAACATACATTGACTTCTCTAGGTTTTCTTATGGAATATAATGCCACTATCCAACTGTTTGCTCACACTCAAATCCTAAATCATCCTGGATTCTTCTCTTTAGTTCATGCATAAAGGTCCTTAAATAGAAGGCATCAGCAGATCCTGTTTCCCGTCCCTCCACATTACAGAGCAAATTGGACCAAACTGATATACAGCCCATGCTACCATTCTTGTCTAAGGCATACTTATTTTCTGTCTGAGCTATCACAACAGCTCTCCAACACCTATTCCAGTTTTCATTGTTGCAAGAAAAATCTTCTAAAGACATAAGTCAGACCTCCTCTACAACTTCCATGGCTGCTCCTAAACATTTAGAGTCAAGACCAAACTCCTTACCATGGCCCACAATGCTAAATGTCTTCTAGTCTGTCTCTCTTGCCAATATTATTTCCTATCTTTTTCTCCTTGCTCACTCTGCTTCAACCACATGTGTATTTTTGCTGATCCTTGAATATATATTCCCTGGGTCCTTTGCACTTGAGAATCTTCCTTCTATCTGGAAGGTTATTTCCCAGAACTGTATATGGCTACTGTCATCTCATTCCTCAAATCTTAGCTCAAACCAACTTTATTCCAGAGAAAACCTGATAGCACTCTCTGTAAGTATCCTATTTATTTGCTTACCTATCATTTATCTTTCTCCATCAAAAATTTTGGGTGCTAATGGATTAAGAATTTTATTTTTCACTATTGAATTACACTATCTAGACTAGGATATTGCACATAACAATCACTCAATAAATGGTGCTTATATTTTAAAATATGCTCATGAATCGTTTGGTACTCTCCCATTGAGAGGTGGGGTCTGTGCCCACTCCACTTGACTCCGGACCTCCTTAGTGACTGGTTGTCTAGTAGAGTATGATAGAAGTAACACTGTGGTCTTACAAGGACAATCAGTATCTGCCTTGGTCTCTGGACCATTTGTACTAAATCCTGGGTCTCCATATAAGTAGTCCTACTGCTCTGAGGCTGCCATGCTGTGAGGAAGCTCAATCTAGCCCATGTAAAAAGGCCACATTGAGAATTGCTAAGATTATATGAAGAGAGAGATGCAATCAATCCCAACTGTTCCAGTCCCCACTGTTCTACTGCCATCCACTATCTGACTGTTAACTGTAGAGACGTTGACAAGAACCATCAGCTAAGCCATTCCTGAATTTCTGATAATAGAAATTGTGAAAAATACCAAAAATAATGTTATTTTTCAAGTCATTAAGTTTTGAGGGGATTTATTTCATGTAATAGAAGACTAGAACAGAGAGAATGGATGCTTAACATCCACTATTCTCTGGTGGCTGCTATAATGTGTACTATTCCTAACCAATTTACTGGTCCAAGTGCCTAGGCAGTCTATGCCAGGTCTCATGGATGGAAGAAAAGAAATGGGAAGTTGAAAATTACTACTTGTTTGGCTGAACTTTGAAGAGCCTCATCTGTGTGACCATGAGCCTTTTTACAGGAATAGTTCAGAACCTTCCCAACATTCTCTGGCTTCCTTAATTCTTCAAGTCCTTTTCTAGAATTAGACACCTAGTCCTAACCCAGAGAACCCCTACTTGATTATTATTATTTTAAATTTTTTTAGTCATAGCTGGACATAATACCTTTATTTTTAATTTATTTTTATGTGGTGCTGAGGATTGAACCCAGTGCCTCGCAGGTGTTAGGTGAGCGCTCTACCACTGAGCCACAAACCCAGGCCCACTACTTGGTTATTTATATCAATCCTGCTCAAAACTCTTATACCTCTTCCTATTTCTTTCTGATTTCCTAGATGAAGTTTGTCTCCTGTTTCAGAGAGAGGAGCTGGTGGACCAAATTATATCCTCTTTTGATCTTTTAGCTTAATAAGCAGGAAATGTTCTGCACAGTCAGAGAATATTACACAGGGAAGTAGAGGTGATGACCATGGACAATGATAATGGAGATAGCACTGAGCGTTTCTTCGCTCATGGTACTAAGCGTTTCCCAAGTATTTTCTCATTTAATCTCCACATCCCTCCAATGTTACCATCCCATCCCTATTTTACTAATGAAGAAACTAGAGACATTTAGGTGACATATTTGAAGCCAATTCCTTTTGATCCTGATTTCCAGAGAAATCACCTACCTGGGATATATTTGATACACAAATGGCAAATATTTGATACACTAGCCACTTTCTCCCTTCCCAGGTTCGTGGCATCTGGTCCCACAGAACCTCTAGATCATTCTTACCATAGCTCTCCAAGTAGGTACGACCAATTGGTCAAAACTGACATGCCGGATAAGACCCTTTTGCTACCTCCCCAATTTCTCAAGGAATAGGGACCCAGAAAGGTCAAGTGACTTTCTAAGGTCATCCAGCTAATGGGTGGTAGTGCTGGGATGGAAATGCACTTGAGAAAGGAATATCACAGCCCCATGCGCAGGGAGGTCGCTCACCCGCGGACAGCGTGCAGCAGGCGCAGCGAGGGGTACGCAGTACGCACGTTGACGTGGTGCTTCAGGATGAGCTCGTTGACCCACTCCACACGCTCCTTGCCACCCCTGGCCATGAAGGCAGGGATCCACAGGATGCTGCCATTGAGGCTGTGCAGTCGCTGCAGCAGCTTCTCCCGCCACGTGGCATTGACCAAGTCCTCGAAGGCCCGCTGGATGACCGAGGGGTTCATGGTAACCAGGTCGGTCTTGAGTCCTACATCCCGGGCATACTCCTGCACCGGAGCCAGGTTGCACCTGAGGAGGAAAAAGGCAACAGGGTCCTTTTAGAAAAGCTGAACCCTATTCTTACATGTAACCTTTTTAATTGTTTCCCTCTCCTTGCTTCAAACTCATCACCAAAGATAAACCCAGGGCATCTCCCTGAATGACGGACTTCTTTTGTTATCCTTATCCTCCTCCTGCCACAAATGTTTATTAAACCTCAACCACATAGTTAGTAATTTACTAGGCCCTGGGGACACAAAGTACCTCCATTCTGGAGTTCAGGATCTAGGAGAGGAAGAAAGGGGCAAGAGAGGCAGCCCTCAGCTGCAAGATGAAGATGCTGTTGGCAAGTTGACCTGCTTGCAGGTGGCAGAGGGCGGGCTCTGAAGACAGACTCCCAGGTTTAAAACTCAGCTCTGACATTCTCTACCTGTGATTCTGGGCAATGTACTCATCTCTCTGTGCTTCCCCAGGACTATGCAGGAGATCACAACAGCAGCCCCACGGGGGATTACTTCAGTTACACGTACCCAGTGCCTAGACCATAGCTGGGCCACACTAAGAGGCCCATGACTTCATCATTCTTACAGGGAGGAGAAAAAGTAGTAGGGGCTGATGACTGAGGGAGTCTAGAAGGATGAGCAGAAATCCAGTGGTAGACATGGCACAGGAAGAGAGTCTTTCTCCAATTTGCTAAAACAGAAGAATCACCTTGGGTACTGGTTAAAAATACAGATTCCTCAGGTCCCTTAGCTGGAGAGCCATTCAGCTGGTTCCAGAGCTTAAGAATTCTCTCTCTCTCTCTCTCTCTCTCTCTCTCTCTCACACACACACACACACACACACACACTTTTTGCAGAGGGTGTGAAATAGCCTGAGTGCTCAGAGGAAGGCAAGTGATTTGGTCTAACTGGGGCAAGTCATGTGAAGGAGATGGGGCTAGAGAGACATGCTGGAGATGAGAGACATCAAAAGGCCTGTGTCAAAGACTTCGTTCAGAAGAAAACAGAGACTACTAAAGGTTCTCGAACAGGAGAGTGATATGAGCACATTTGTATTAGGCAACAAACAAAAAACCAAAGCTGTAGGATTCACTGGAGGGAAGGAGTTGGGTATCAGAGGATGAAATAAGAGGTCACTGAAATTGCTCATGAATTGGTCAGGCTGCCAGGATGGACAGATTCTTAATTACCTAGGGACTATCTTGGGGGCCTCTCCCATCCTCAAGGGTTCTGGTTTATATGAGCACACTTGGGCTTCTTGCCTGTACCAAGGACGTATGGAAGGCAGCAGGGGGCGCTGCTGGGGAGGCTTCCATGCTGCCTGGGATTTGATGGTAGAAATAAGCTTGAGAAATTGGAATAAGTATGTATAGAACGGAGGTTGTGAAGATGTGAAGACTGGGAGCTATATGCCATTGCCCGATGATGAAATCCAGAAAGACACTATTTACTCCTGGCTTTAAGAAAGGACTTTTCTTCTGCAACTGGGTAGAAAAAGTAGAACAATTAGAAAGAAAATGAACATTATGGAGCCCCTGGTGTGTGCCAGCCACTTGGCTAGTCATCAACAGAGATCAGTTCATTGTATTGTGACCCATTTTTAGTCACCCTCTTTTTACAGATGAGCAAACTGAGGCACAGAGTGTTCCAATTAAGTTGCCCAAAGTCCCAGGGTTAGTAAGGGAACCACCAGGATTCGAACCCAGTTGTGTCTGATTCCAAAGCCTGTCTAACTATTTCCAACTGAGCCCCGCCCCCTCCATTCCTGCCCTCAGACCTTGCTATCTCTGATTGTAGTTAAATATTGCAGGGAAATAGAATTGCTGGAGGACACCTTCAGGAGCCCCTGCCACAGGCTGCAGAGATTGGGGTATTATTGCCAGCACATTATCCAGTCTTGCGCCACCTTGGTCTTAGTTACCTATTGCCCTTAAGCTGTGCTGAACCAGGATTCCCAAACCTTCCCTGATGGCTGGGGCCTCCTCCAGACCAACCTCCAGTTCATAAGAGCAGGGTCAGGTGGACTCAGTGAAGTTGAGACTTACTGAAGTCAACTGCAGGCCAGTAGGAGCTGCGGGCAGGCAAAGAAGGAAGCAGACAGCAGTGTGGGATGCCATCCTCTGGAAGGTGCTATGAGACTCCAAGGCACACGGGCTCCTGCTCACAGGGGAGGCTGGGAGGTTCAGGCTATTCCAGTGACCAAGTCTCAGTGAAGATGCCTGGGGGCTTGGGGGCAGGGGGAAGCTGTGCCCTAAATGGATGCTTTAGGTGTACTTCTTCCCCACACTGCTTCATTTATGGAGAAAGGGCAGAGTCAGGAAAGGCTTACACCTGTTCTAGGCTCTCTTCTGTCCAAAGAATTCTGGGTGGGCTGTGAGAGGGCTTGGTTCTGGGCAGAAAAGGAGTAAACCTTTTCCAGAAACAACCATATTCATAGGTCTACACTGAGCCATCTGCAGAGTGAGGGAGGCAGGTATATGGGCTCTGAAGCCCATACTAGCTGTATGCCTCTGCACTTTCTGTGCCTCAGTTTCTTCTCTACAAATTGGGGATAAAATAAAATATGCCTGTTCTGCAAGAACTAAATAAGCTAATACTGGTGAAGTGTGTAGAATAGCACATGGTACCTGCCAAGTGCCCAGTGAATGTTCAGGGGTGATCTGAAAGGTTATTTATCTGTGAAAGGTCATTTGCTGGTAGGATGCTCCCTGTGGAGGGGTTGTGCTTGTGTGTGCACATGTGAGCACACAATGAACTCTTGATCCCTAAACTTCTGGGAACTCCCCCTGCTTACATGGCCCTGGGTCAGCCATGGCCTCCTCACCCTGGCACTGCAGGCTCCTGTCGTTCTCCTAGGACCAGCCCTCCTGCCCAGCCTGTCTCAGCAGCACCTCGTGCAGCCTGTGCTTGCTCAAGCCGTTGCCTCCCTGATCCCTGAACCTGTCTTTCTGCCTCCGTGATTTTCTTCATGCTCTTCCCTTCTCCTCCTCACTTTCGTTGGTCCAAGTCAGCCACACTCAAATCCCACATCTTCCAGAAGCCCAGGAGGTGCCATGTTTTGCAAGCTAGTTGTGTTTATGTGCTCTGTGTCTCACCAGAACCCTCAGCTCATGTTTCCCATTCAGTTTTCTTAAAGGGAGTAAGGTCCTATGTGTCTCTGAGACTCTCACACAAAGGAGGGACCCAGGGTGGACTGATTTAATTGAAGACTCAGATTAACATGGACAGAGACATCTCCATCAGGACTGTCATGGTGCCTGTCATCTTGGCAGAACCACGGGGAGCTTATTGGAATAGCAGAGTCTCATCCATGTCAACCACATGCAGGCCCTCCTCTGTGCTGCACACAGCCTTGGCCTGGAGGTAAAGATGGACATAGCCAGCTGGGTGCAGTGGTGCACGCCTTCAATCCTAGGAGGATCAGGAGTTCAAAACCAGCCTCAGCAAAAGTGAGGTGATAAGCAACTCAGTAAGATCCTGTCTCTAAATAAAATGCAAAATAGGTCTGGGGATGTGGCTCAGTGGCTGAGTGCCCCTGAATTCAATCCCCAGTACCCCTCCAAAAAATAAGATGGCATAGCTATTCTGCTTTGGAGGAGCTCACGGTCTAGGTGCATGCGTGTGGTGGAGACATAGGGTAGACAAAGATTTAACAATAAATGTGCCACACCACAACGGGACACATTGTCTGAGGAATTTCCAAATGTCATCCCTTTAATGCTTACAACCTCATACTCTCTTGACTGTGTGTGTGTGGTAACAGAGCATGCTATGGCCCTAAGTGCAGGCTGCACACCAGCAGCAGTGACATCCGCTGGGAAGCTTGTTAAAAATGCAGAGCCTTGGTCCCCACCTCAGACCTGAGACTCAGACTTTTAATAAGCCAGGCGATGCACACACATTCCCATTTGAAAAGCACTGGGCTAGAGCCTGGACAGGATTCATAATGGAAGAACTTAAAGCAAGCCCAGGCCACCTATTTTACAGACAGTTAAACTGAAGCCCCAAAAGACAATTCAAGTGATGTGCTCTGAGCCATGTGACAAATGGGCATAAGAGCCAGAAACCACACTATTTACCGTGTGTGCAAAGAGGATGCTGTGAGCCAAAATCAGCCATTGCCTCCTGAAATTCCTGAGGCAGGGTTTGGTGGAACACAGAAAGCTCGCTGTTGAAAGTCGTTCCTTGTGGCAAAGAAAAGAGGCATGGCCTATATGTGTTCCACGAGACCAGCAAGGCCTCCCTCAAGCCTGCCCGGCACCTTGGAAGGGATCTGGCCTTACCAATAACACCCACCACACCTTTGCTCCTCTGGCCTCCAGTCAGACAGATCCACCATGCTTCCTTCCTCTCCCCCAACCAATCTTTAGCCTGAAGGACTTTGAAAACTAAGGGCTAAGCCTTTGGTTATACCAGAGACAAAGAGACCTGCCAAAGATGAACAAAATGGAAGCCACTTTGGCTACCAGACTGCGTAGCTCTCCAGTCCTAGGGGATACTAAGGTAATTAGAGCTGTTCCTTCCCATGTCCTTAGGTTCAAGGAATTCTATGATCAGATCATTTCCCAAAGTCCAGGGACAAGACTTTCTTTGCATCAGGACAGTCCCAACAGAAATATGAGACACAGTGTGAGGTTCTTCCTGGGCCAGGAGCTATTTGGAATGAAATCCGAGGCTCCAAGTGCCCTACTTTTGACCAGGGGACAGCAAAGCCTTGTTTTCAAATCTGAATGGGCTGGGGCTAGGTGTTCTTGGCCATGGGTCCAAACTGAGTCCAAACATCCCCAGAGACTGAAAAATGAGAACTGATATTTTAGAGAAAATGATGGTCAAGTACAAAATCCAAGTTTCTCTGTCACTCCCTCACTTCAGACTTTGACTACAGCATGATGAAGTTACTAGTAGAGTGCCACCCTCCAGGACGCTACAAAGAGCTTTGCCAATTTGGACCAACAATCCAAGTCAGCCAGGAGATTTTCTTACTAACCTTTTGTGCCAGGCTCTGTTTAGAGGTTAACAAACTTTTTCTGTAAAGGTGCTAGATAATAAATATTTTCAGCTTTGCAGGGTATACGTTCTCTGTGTTGCTTTAGCAACAACGCTTCAGCTCTGCCCAACTACTGAACTCTGCATCATGAAAAGAAAGCAGCCATTGACAATGTGAAAATGAGCAGAATGGCTGTGTTCCAATAAAACTTTATTTATAAAAATGGGGGTGGGGGCAGCTGGATGTGGTGGTACATAATTATCATTCCAGCGACTTGGGAGGCTGAGACAGGAGGATCAAAGCCAGCCTCAGCAATTTAGCAAGGCCCTAAATCACTCAGTGAGACCTTGTCTCTAAATAAAATACAAAAAAGGCTGGGGTTGTGGCTCAGTGGTTCTGCATCCCTGGATTCAATCCCCCCCCAAAAAAAAATACTAAAAAAACAACAACAGGCAGTTTGCCTCCCACTGCTCTGGGTTAGTGATTCTCAACCTTAGCTGTGCACCAGAATCCCTGGAGCTCCCTTGGCCATACCTGCCCTGACTCCCTTATCCCCCAGATGATTTAATTGGTTGGAGGTACAGTCTGGACACTGGAGATAAAGATCCTCAAGCAGCTCCCATGTGCATCAAGGTTGAGAATAGGGACTAAGCCCACCAATGTGTCTTGTTTCAATCTTTTGGGACAACAGCAATGCTCAGCGTCAATATACCTGCTGCTCTGGGCACCAGTGCAGGTGGTTACCTGATGACGAAGCTGTGCGTGTCAATCTCCTGCCCGCAACCACTGTTCAGCAAGACCCCCGAGTTGCCCACAATGGCACAGGTCCGGAAGTGCTTGTTCTTCAGGGGCGAGGTTCTGGGGAGGAGCTCGTACAGGTTCTGGGACACGTTCATTGTACTGTCACGGTCAAAGATGTAATGAATAATGTCTCCGGGCTTCAGGGTCCCCTTGAGGACGGAAATATCCTTCTCAGCATCCAAGAACTTTAAAATTTGCTTCCTATAGAAACCAAACATGCATGAGGAAAGTCTCTATGTTGCTAGATGCACTTTGCCAAACCAGATTTTCCTGTCCTATGTCACTGTGTGGGGCTGCTGCACCCCAGCAAGTAGGTAGAGAATAGCAAGAGTTCAGATACCCTCTAGGATGGGTTCCAGGACTGACAGAAGGCCCCAGGATAGGAGGTCCACCATCCAGGCTTATGTATGGCCTGAATGTTCCTTGTCCCAGAAATGTTTTAGTTTGGGGTAAATTCAGACATTTGGCCCCCCTGCATCACACTCCTCTCAGAGGGATTCAGTGCTACCATGTGAGAGGGAGTCCTGAACTAGGGACATTAAGCCAGGATGACACAGGCCTTCAATCCTCATTGGCTTATTTTCTTTCATGGGCAGAGAGGCCACATGGGGGTGAGTGGGAACATGGTACTAGGAGGGGTACCACCCCTTCCTCCTCTGAGACACTGTGAGGGTGGCTTGCCACTTGGCTGGCTTGTCCATTGTGTAGGGTGTGTCTCTGGCTCCCCCCGACCTGGAACAGGGTTTGTGAATCTCACCATGTCCCTGGTCCACAAAGGAGAAAGGCTCCTTTGTGGTGTTTCAGAACAAAGGTGATCAAAGGGCAGCTGTCTAGTCCTGGGTAACTTTGACTTAGAAGGCAAGTTCTAGAATCATCTAGAAAAGCCCAAGAGAAGGGATGGGGTTGGATTAGGGAAAGAATGGGTGTCCTTATGGAATCCCCAGGGGAGTTTTACTTAAAACACACAGCCTTCTTCCAGGAACCTGAGCATCCCAGCCAGCTGCCTAAATCACCCAATAAATCTTCAGAGATAATTCAAGCCATAAAGAGAAAGGAATTGGCTACTCAATAAATAAAATAAATTTCATCTCCTGTCGTGAGCCCCTATCTAGACAGACCCAGGGATGCTGGCCTCCCTTCCCACAGAGCTTTGGAGGCACAGAATGCTCATGCTATCTTCAGATGTGAGGATCTGCAGATGGTTGCCCCATTGTACAAATGGTGATGCTGAAGCCCAAGAGGCTGCTGGATTTGAAATGTGCACAGCCTGTGAATATCACAGGAGGCTGTATGATCAATCACTTGAGAACTATGGAAACTTCAGAAACTCCAGCTGACACCTAAGACATCCTGATTCTGAGGGGGGCTGTGATTTGCTCAGGTTTGGGGGCTCTCGCATGGCCAAGGAGTACCTAAAACCCTTGGCCGGGTATGACATTCTCCATTCACTTGTCTTTCCACATTTGTGACCCTGATCTCTTGCTATTATACAGGGGAAATCACCCTTGCTGAATAATTTGTTCCTTTTGATGGAAAACAGGTGCTTTTTTTTTTTAAACCAGGTTTACCAAGGATTACATAACTCGGCTCATTCATATAGTTTGGAAATTACTAAAACCCTTGCAACTACTTAACCCAAAGTATTTAAAAGCAAAGAGAGTCCCTAGAAAGCCCATAAATAAATACCTCTGTGAGGGAATTAATTTCTAACTAATTATGAGAAATGACTATCAATTATTAAGCATCATTGCAAATCACTTGCAGAATCTTTTATTATGAACAATTTTGGTGATTAACTGACTGAAATAGAGGGCGATTCCTTTTCCTTCTGGGTGAAAACAATTGTTCCTCTGAAGGTAGCCGGGTGTTTCCAGGATCCCCATGGAGGCCACAGTCTGGTCTTTGAAAGCAAAGTTCGGGAGCGTGGGTGGGCATGTGGGTGTGAGTGTGTGCATGTGTGTTTCTCTGCCCAGTGGCAAAAGGAAGGGCTAGAGAGAACTGCAGCTGGGTTGTGTTGCCAGGGGAATTTCACTAACAGGTACAGTAGTGCTGTACATGGTGGCCATTAGAAATAAATGTTCACCTCCTGACCCCTGGAACATGTGAATGTGACCTACATTTGGAAATATCATTTTTGCAGATGTAATTAAATTAAGGATCTGGAGATGAGATCACCCTGGATTACCCAGGTGGGCCCTAAATCCAATGACAGTATCCTATGTGAGACAGGAGAGGAGACTAAGCAGACCCTATAAGGATGACCTCAGAGACTCGCATCTGCACCCCTGTTCTGTGACAACCCTCCAGTTTTCCCACAGTGAGATGGAGCCCCCAGAAGCTGGAAGAGGCAAGAGGAGGGGTCCCTCACCTATAGCTCTTGGTGGGAATGTTCAGGATTTTGTCCTCCATTCCATGAGAGACTAATTTCTGTAGTTTCCAACCATCAATTAATGGTAATTTGTTGTGGCTGTCAAAGGGAACTATGTGGTGGTCTTGCTGACTCCAGGTGCCCTGGTCACAGGGGGGCAGACTGACAAGACTGGAGGACCTCCCCACACAGCCTCCGAGGAGACACTGAGGAAGTGGGAAGCTGGCGGATGATGGAGTCCAAGGACATCTCTTTCAGATGGATTCCCAGCTACCTGACCCATAGATCTCATTCCTCTCTATTACCATACCCCTCATGTCCTCAAACAAATCTCAAGAGCTAGGGAGTGGGGCACTTCCTACCTGAAGGAGCAACTCCCTGATGTGTGGCGACATTGTTGGTGGCTATTCTCCACTCCTTCCCCATGCTGATGGCCTGGATGGCCATCAGAGCTCTCCTTAGCTGGTCCTGGTTGTCCTTCACCTTCATCTCCATCTCTCTATTCCTCACCTCCTTGTTGGTGCTCCTGCAGCACCCAACACACACATCAGACTTCAATCTCTGTGCATGTGGGATGTGGCTTGGCACATCTGGAAAACTCCAAGTTGTCCTTCAAAGCCCAGTGCTCTAGACCAGCCTTTCCCAGCAGTCCTCTAAGACCCCTTGCAGAATGAAAACGGCTCCTCATTCCAACCTCCTTGTTTCCACCTGTTGCTAAGATGCAATACCACCGAATGAGTATGTCCTCCTCCTCTGTCCTGTCTTTGCTTCTTTTTGTGTTTCTCTGCCTAACACTTCTGATTCATGTCAGCACCTTGGGATGGCAACACAATGCTTGGAAATAAATAGAATATACTGACTAATATTTGCTAGGTCAATCATGGCTACATCTAAACTAAGTGTCCATTGATGCTGTAATTATAATTCTTCTCCACATTTCCTCAATCCTACTCTCTGGGGAAACAGACTTCTGTTTTTAGGGTCAGTTCCTGGGTCTCTCAGCTAAGGGTTTTTATTTTCATGTTGCGGGAGAGGGGCAGGCTTTCAAGCCATAAGAACTATGGGAGGGAACAGCTCAACCTGGGCAAGTGGAGGACAAACAGGGTGCAGATGGCAGGCAGGCTGAAAGAGAGAGGCCACCCGTGGCCTCCATTTCCCAGGTGCTGTACGGCCCTAGCCTAAGCCAGGTATCTCAGCAGGGAGTTCCTGCCACCTCCTCTGCCCAATTTGCTATGTACACATGCCAGGTTGCTGGGCTCACTCTGGGTTTTATTTCCAATTGATCGTTTACAGATGAAGCTTGTCTCTGCAGGAGGTAAACATTTTATTTCTATTCTACTTCTTTAGATGATGGAGAGGGACAATTTGCAGGCTTGCACTGGAGAAGGCCAAGCCTGCCTCTTGTCCTATAGGTAATTACCAGTACCTGATCCTCAGAGAGAGCGTCTGGTTGTGTCTCCATTTGGACGAAGCTGGCTGGATGTTGTGTTTAATGCTTTCATTACTTCTGTCAATGACAGCTGGAGATGAGGAGCCATTTATTACAACTTCGGCTCTGGAAAGAGGGAAAAAAAAATAAAGACGAAGGTAGACATGATCTGTTAGCATGCCAATGACAAGTCTAATAGTTTTGTTTTTGCACGAGCTTGAATGTAAACTTCAGAAGAGCAAAATTGCAGTTATTACCTGAGAAGCGAAGGAAGTCTATTTATCTTCTAGAATGCACAAACTCTCTCCCTCGGGTATAACCTACATACATTCTTAGAGACAGGAAGGGGGGTGATAATACTATTTTTCTACCCCTCCACCCTCAATGTTTCCTCCCAGTGAAACCTGGCAGTCACACCAGAATAGTAATGTTTCCTATTTAAGCTATTGGTAAGAAACTCCACAAGTAACAGTTCTATTAGCTGCAAAGCATCATACAATGGCTTGCAAACTCAATAAAGAGAAGACAAAAGCTTATGCCAGGACAAGGTCTCTGTAGACTGCGGCTTCTTCCTCCTCCCCCACATTCCCATCACTTTTGTTGACACAAGAAACATCTGCCGGTGACAGAGTTATTCATGCTGTGTCTCTCTGTCCTACTAGAATGCAAGCGGGGAATCTCTTGCACACATTCCTACATTCCCTCATGGTCTAACATAGCAGGTGCTCAATAAATAAGTGTTGAATTTGACTTTGAAATTGATCCTGGGGGAGCTTGGAGTGGATGAAGGAGCTGACTGGCTTTGTGTGCCTGGGATGGATCACAATTCTGGGTATAAACCATCTTTCCACCTGACTCAGTAACACCGGGCATTAGAGGACTCACTTGAATTCAGAGACTTGAAATCTATGCTAGTAGGTTTCTAAGAAACTAGGCTACAATTATATCTTTAAAGGCAGCACGAAAGCCAGGCTGCCTTCTGCTGTATGCACGCAGATGCATTTGGGTCACATCCGAAGTTCCTTTTGTCTGGGCTGACAGCAGGTCCTCCCAGTTAGAATGATAAGTGGATTTGTGATGCTGCATTCTGGGACTTTAAAGAGTCTAAACCAAACATCTCTGTCCTTTCCAAGTTAAAAGAGATGAAATCCTGTTATGAGCTCTAAACCCAATGTTTCCTTTTCCTTTTTTTGCAGGTAGAGGAGAAATCCATGTGGGGGTGTATATTGTCTCCCTCATTCCTCCCACTCACCCACCTCCATTCCTCAATACTCCTGTCTCCTCTGGATGCTACTACTCATCTCAGATCCAAATATATGTAACTTTGCAGAGGACAGACAATGAAAGGCAGGTGGACTTCTAGCATGCAGTCTTAAAGGAGTCTATAAGAGGAAACAGAAAAGCTGACCCTTTGGAATACTGACTATTTTCATGAAAGAAAGCAGAGTAGAGTGGAAGGATTTTGTAAGCTGTGTGACTATGGATAAATCGCTTTACCGCTCAGAGACATCGTTTCCCTATTTATGGAAGGAGAGTGTAGAAGAGGAAACTATCCAGCCCTGAGGTTTTAGAGCTCTAAAAGGACCACCGGTATTCCCTGCATGTACCACTGGCTGCTCTTTTATGAGGCTTCAGGAGGAACTGGTATGGCTGCATCCTTTTGGTCCTGCCTACTTCTGTGACCACAGGCAGGGGCAGTGACCTTGGGATTATGGGTTCAGCAGTTATATCCCAATACCCTAAGCTTTACCACAATTTACAGTAGTATAAGTGACAGAGATGCTGTAATGTTAGTGGTAAGGACTTGTTAGGACAAGCCTAAAGGGCTTGCTGATGCTCTCATAAGTGACCAGGGCCCAGCATCTCATGGCTTTAAGTAGATTCAGTCCTCGTGATGCTCCCCAGAAACTGGGGCATATTGCAGGGGCCCAGTGTTGCTCAGGAAAGAGGCACCTGCAGAGGTAGGCTATTGCAGAGGTTTGCAGAGGGGATCTGCTCAGAGACTTCCAGAAGGGCTTTTCAGACGTATTTGAGACACAAGGTGGTGAAAGCAGGAAAGGGGAAGAGATAAATGCTGCCCTGGAGAGCAGCCAAATCCTGTTTCTGTCCCTACTTTCTACTGTAACCTTGGATGGGACCTCGCATTGCTGCAAAATCTTACTGGACTTACTGGACCCTAGCTCTGTTGCTACCTGGCTGGAGGATGTGGGAAAGTCACTTTGGGTTTCTGGCCTCTGCCTTGTTATCTGTCTCACAAGGTATGGATCAGATATCCCCAGGGACTGCCTCTATGAGGAGGTCTTCTCGCGTGTTCTGTGTCATACAAACACAGCTGGACTGCAGAGCTGAAATATCCCACTTTAGTGAATGTGCCCTCCTGTTCTCAGTGCTCTCCCTGATCCCCTATGTGGCACCTGGGGTATGTTTCAGCCTTAAGCTGTGTCACTTCCCAACTCCCAAAACACACCCTGAGTCACCATTTTCTCATACCACAAACACACCCACAGTGATAATAACAAGCGTCATTGGAGTATCTTCATAAACTCTTACATTCAATAGTTCTAATCCCTCCAAGGATGTATTGCATTCTTATTCTGTTTGCATGGCAAGCTGAGGTGCAGAAGGTGACACTACCTACCTGGGGCCCTAGCTAGCAAACTCAGGAGCTGAATCCAGGGCTACCTGGCTTCCCAAGACAGTTCCCACCTCTTCCACTCAATAAGCCCAAACCTCCGCAAGTTACCATGGGGGCTCGGCCTTGAGGGGAAGGATCTTGTTTCTCCCAAAGGGGGTATCTTTCCACAGTGGAACAGAGAGGAATTTAGGCACACATGGCCTTGCCCTTTATTTCTGTAATATTTGCATGGTAGCTTCAAGTGGTCAAGAGGTCACTGGAGATCTAGAAGCAACGATGTCAAGGACAAAAGGGGCAGTTTCTGAAGTCAGTCACACAGAGTCAGGGACAGATGTACTTGACAGGTCTCTTAAGGTCAAAAGACCCAGGAAAAAATATGGAAAGGCAAATAACAAACTTGTCTTCTGAATAACATGAACTCTCATTCCCAGCATGAACAAAATAAGACATTTAGAAGCAAGACAAAAACTTCAGTTCGAGCAGTGGCCTTTGTTTATGTCAAGTATCTTGGCACTTCCTCCATTGCTCCTTCAGCTTGGGCTTCTGAGACTGAAGGTCAGAGGTATGGGGCACTTGTCATTGGTGGAGAAGGGGACTTAGAAGCACAGTGCAATCACAGCCAGTGGCAATCCTGGGTCTGCTGGCTTGCAAATTATCTGCATGCTCCCCTGAGTCAGTCTGTGCCCTAGTCAAGCTCTGTCCCCAAGGCTTCCAATGTAGCATCATCACATCACATAAAATAATAAAGCTCTTTCAGAATTCAGAGTGCACCTTAAATGATCAGGGTTAACATTACTGAGTTGACTCCCTACATATTTTAAGGGGTCTCAGCAAAGTTCTTGAATGTATTATTTCCATCTTAACCTCCTGAACAAGCCATCTACCACAATAAAACTGGGTTAAAGTCCTGGTTTCCTTCAGGGTCTCCACCGCTCAGCAAAAATGCAAGTTTCAAGTAAGTTCATTGGTGGCCCAAGCTCTACAAAGTAGGTAGGCTCTTCTCCAGAAAGTAACTCTTAGCCATCTGCATTTCCATCTCTACAGCCTCTGGACCTTAGACCATTTCATGTGATCTTTCATCGACAGCTTCCCCCCAAAAGTGATTAGGGAAATGCAAAACCAAAGTGAAATGAAACAGATCTATTTGCTAAGTAAGAAGGGCACCATCCAGCAAAGAGGAGAAGCAGATTAATAGCTGCCTTACAGCAAAAACAAATGAACACAAAATCTAATTTACAAACCTATTAGATTTGCTATGTAAGCTGTTCACAGCTGATCTGACTGTACCTCTGCCTCCAGAATTCCTGCAAGACAAAGGAAATGCATTATTTATAAACCCAGTTCTTCCTTGAAAAGCCCTCTTCAATCACCAGGAGACCCCACAGCTCACCTGGAGGGCTACAGAGGGAGAACGAGATCTCACTCCGGACTCTCCAGAATGGGCAACATCCTGGTCCCAGCCATAGCCCAGGGGGTGGGCCTCCCAGCTCCTCCCCTGCTTCCCATTTGAACCCTTAGAATTAGCACCAAAGTTCTCATTTGAGATTCCCATTTGAGTCTGGAAATAAACCCCATTGGAGTTGGTCTCCCCTGGTTAATCACACAGGACAGCAGGATTCAGCATGACTCAGTGTCTGTTTTAACATGACTTAGCCTTTGCTCTTGCATGGTGCAGCCTCTATTCTAGCACTACTAAGCACGCTTCAACACCCGCTTTAACTTGACTCTACATCTGTTTTGGCATGACTCAGCTCCTGCCCACTGTTGCTTTCATTCATATGTGGTAAGATGTCTACCACAAATGCCATAACTTTATTCTCTTTTATTGCTGAGTAATATTCCATTGTGTATATATGCCACATTTTTTTTTATCCATTCCTCTACTGAAGGGCATCTAGGTTGGTTCCACAGTTTAGCTACTGTGAATTGTGCTGCTATAAACATTTATGTGGCTGTGTCCCTGTAGTATGCTATTTTTAAGTCCTTTGGGTACAGACCAAGGGGTGGGATAACTGGGTCAAACGGTGGCTCCATTCCCAATTTTCCAAGGAATCTCCATACTGCTTTCCACATTGGCTGCACCAATTTGCAGTCCCACCAGCAATGTTTGAGTATACCTTTTTTTCCCCACATCCTCACCAACACTTATTGTTGTTTGTCTTCATAATAGCTGCCATCCTGACTGGAGTGAGATGACATCTTAGAGCAGTTTTGATGTGCATTTCTCTAATTGCTAGAGATTATGAACATTTTTTCATATATTTGTTGATTGATTGAATATCCTTTTCTGAGAAGTGTCTGTTCAGGTCCTTGGCCCATTTATTGATTGGGTTTTTTTTTTTTGGTGCTTAGCTTTTTGAGTTCTTTATATAACCTAGAGATTAGTGATCTATCTGATGTGTGAGGAGTAAAAATTTGTTCCCAAGATGTAGGCTTGGTGACTGACTCATAGTGGGGTAGGGAGGGGAAGCATGGGAGGAATAGATGAACTCTAGATAGGGAAGAGGGGTGGGAGGGGAAGAGAAGAGACAAGGGGTTAGCAATGATGGTGGAATGTGATGGACATCATTATTCAAAATACATGTATGAAGACATGAGTTGGTGTGAACATACTTTATATACAAACAGAGATATGAAAAATTGTGCTCTATATGTGTAATAAGAATTATAATGCATTCTGCTGTTATGTATTTAAAAACAGAATCAATTAAAAAAAGAAATAAGATTTCTAGAAAGGCTTTCTGATATGCAAGAAGGAATGGTGAGTGAAATATTGAGAAGTGTGTGAGTAAATAAAAATAGTGTTGACTAATAAAAAAAAAAGATGTCTACCACATTCTCTCCGAACCTGAGACACCAGAACTTCAACAGAGGCAGCAAGATTAACTCAACAGTTTAAAGATTAACTCAATAACCAACTGTGACAACAATTTGTTTTGTGGTAGCCGGATAAATAATGTTAATGGTGTCACCTTGCAAGGGGTTGGGGGCAGGAGGAAGGTGGGGAGGGAGTCCTTTATTATTTCCTTTGGTGGAGAAGGTTTTGGAGGAAAAGTGTTCTAAGGCCCTTTCCAGTCCCACCTTCTATTTAACTCTGACAAATTCCATTGCCTGACACACAGTTTCATCACCACACTTTGCTATCATACAGGTGCAGGGCAGATGAATGTGCATGTCCCTGGGACCCCACTTTGTGTCCCACATGTACTTTAGAAAAGTTGTACGTAAGACTAATTATTTTTAATAATTAAAAAACATTTCCCACCAATTTACAGAGTGTGTGGTTTGGGAAATACTTTGTAGTTCTCTCATTTTTTTAAAGGTCTATTTAGCCTTTCAAGCAAGGTATTGATGTGATCCAAAGAAACAATTACAATCCTTCGGAAGCCATGCATTTGTAGGAACTCTATGATTAAATGAGAATTTTTTGGGGCAAAGTTAAGGTCTAGCTACACTGATTTTGAGTCTGGATTTTTCTAGCTGTTTTCCTTAGAATTAGGGTACTTATGTATATGTCTCTCTCTCTCTCTCTCTCTCTCTCTCTCTCTCTCTCTCTCTCTCTGTGTGTGTGTGTGTGTGTGTTTACATATGCATGTATTTTCTAGATATATTGAAATGTCTTTTATACATTATTTGGCAACAGGCAATATCCTCCCATTTCACAGTCAGATTCTGGACAACAGGACAGGACTCACCAGTGTCTTATTCTGGTATCCCTTTAGGTTTTAAATTTTATCCCTCCAAATCTAGTTCTCAAAGACACAGTACCATTTTAATTTAACAGCTGCTACTCAGTTGATCTCTCTTCGTTTTCCATTGGGAGGCAGAGCTCTTGTACTGTCCAGTTGGAGTCTGGGAATGCTCAGCCAGTTCTGGTCCTTGTAACCAGAGTCCACTCAGCTTTGCTGGGTGTGCTGCCCCACAGGTCATCATCCTTTCACACCCAGCCCCCCAACCCCAGCCCTCAAAATCAGCCCTCCTTGTGGAGATAACCTGCTAGGTCAGATATCAAGCTGAGTATAATAATTAAAAGCACAGTAATAGCCAAGTCTAATGAAAGGTTAACGAGGCAAAAGAGATCACCCAGAAAAGCTACATTGAAGAATTGATGTGTGATTAAAAAAAAATCATTGTCAAAGAAAATTCTAATTACTGGTTTGGAGTAGCTGTTTAACAATCTGAGGTAAGATGGGAGGAAGTCAGTTTGTCCCCCTTCTCTAGACAGCATAACAAGCTTCAAAAGGAATTAGCCAATGTTTCCCAAACTTCAGTGATTCCCACATCCCCTTCACCAGCTTTCCCTATCTATCACCCACACATGTCAACTACTTAACTTTTAAAAAAGGCTCATCTTTAAAAACTTGCCCTTATCCTAAACAATTCCATCTGGGAAACACAGGTTTGACAACATCATGATTACATACCCATTTAAAAAACTCTCAAAACCATTAATTCAAAAATATTTACCATGGAATTCCTAAAATCATCTACATTATCACAAGGAGTACCAGGAGTACTTGCACACCCTCAGGGGAAGGACTGGATTAAACAGTTAAGTATTTAAAGGAGGCAAACCATAAGAAATTAATAGAAAAAGAAGGATAATACTTATCGAGTCTCTGATGAAGGTTGACGAATGTATGTGAAAGACTTTTCTTTTTTTAATTCAGAAGGATACAAAGAAATCATAGAGAATGCAGACAGATCTGATTTCATAAAAACCTAAAACTGCTTATACAAAAAGCAAACCTCAACAAGCCCAGCTCGGTGATTCTTCCCAAATCTAGGAGTGCTCCAGGTGAGGCCAACACTGCTCCCAACTGAATTTTTAAAAATCATTCATTTTATAAAAATTTCTTGATGAATACACCATTTGGGACTCTAACAAAGCTGGACATATACAGATTTTGCTCTCATGCAGTACAGCTTTAAGAGATAATACAAAGATCCATTCTTCTTGTTTTTGAGTCAGTTCCCCATTTGGCCTCACTAAGGTATAATCGACAAATCGAAATTAAATATACAGTCAGCCCTCCAAATCCATGGCTACAACCAACTTCACATAAAAAAATTTTTTTTAAATTGCTTCTGTACTGAACACGTACAGACTTTTTTCTTGTCATTATTCCCTAAATAATACAACATAACAACTACTAACATAACATTTCCATTAGATTAGGTATTCAAAGTGGAGATGACCTCAAGTATTTCAAAGGATGTGTGTAGGTTATATGCAAATACTGCACCATTTTATGCAAGGGACTTGAGCATCCCTGGATTTTTGTGTCTGCAGGGGGTCCTGCAATCAATCACCCACAGATACTAAGGACTCCCTGCATTTATGATTTACAATGTGATGTTTTGATATATGTATACGTTGTGAAATGATTAAATTAAACTAATTAACATATCCATCATCTGACTTGTCATTCTTTTTTTTTTTTTTTAGTGTGGTGAGAACACCGAAGATCCACCTGGTTGCATGTCTCAAGTATACAATACAGTGTTATTCGCTTTGGTCACCATATTGTACACAAGATCTCCAGAACTTATTCGTCCTGAAACTGAAATTTTGTACTCTTGGACCAACATTTCCCCTCCCCTGCCCCAAGCCCCTGACACCCAAGTTTAGAGGAACCAAATGCCCTGCTAACACCTGGCTCCTCTCTTTCTCTTTTCCTGCCTCTAGGCCAGGCCCTGAGGAACACTGAAGCCTGCTGACTTGGGCATCACAAATCCCTATATTTTTTATGTCCTATATTTTCACCAGTGCAGGGGTTTCCAACTTTACCTCTATCAATATTTGGGTCAGGGTATTTCTTTTTTGGTGGGGTTAGGACTGAGGGTGCTATCTGTGTGCTGTACGATACTCGGAAGCATCCCGCCTCATCCACTGAGTACCACGGGCAGCCCACAGTGTGACGATGAAAATTATCTCCATACATCACCAGTGTCCCCTGGGACAGTGGGGAAATGGCCTTCAATTGAGGACCTTTCCTCTGACTTTTTTTTTTCATCTGGTGACTCTCAGAAGCCAGATCCCCCATTCCACCCTGCTGTCCAGCTTATCCATAGCACCATTCCGTGCTGACCCCCAAACCCAGCCCCTGCACCTCCCTAACAATCACCCTGAGTTTCAGTTTTCAGCTACTTTTCCCTTCTCCTCCCAGAGCACTCCACTCTGTTACAGCATTTGTCACCTTGTTTTCATATTTAACTATTTCACAACCCACAGATTTAAAGAAATCCTGTCATTTACACAGTCTAAATGCCTCCTCTTACGGTTGAGAGAGTACGGATTGAG